GTGTGTGTTTTGATTGTTTGTTGTTTGTTTGTGTGAGGGCAGGGAAAGATTTTTCTGCATAGCACGGTTAGAGAAGCATTATGTCCCTGCAATTATGATCTATTGGTTGAGACATCCCAAAGTCATAAGTGCTCCCTCAAAGTAAATTGGATGCAGACTTAGCATTGCATCAGTGAAACCAGCTGGGAGTAAAATAAGCTATTAGCTCTTTTTTCCCCCCATTAATCTAAATGGATCAACTCTACAAATGACAAATCCGAGATTGTCAATAGCACTCAAGATGCGTGCAATTTCACACATTCCTCAACCAGGAGCCTTGATAGCCAGTCTTCTGGGAAATATTTAAAAATATCTCTCACCTTTGTCACCTCTGCCTAACTGTAAACTTTTGAAGTATAAACCACTTAGATGTTGATTTTTCTTTTTTTGGCTTCTTTGGTATTCTTTCTTTCATATACAGATGGTCCTCGATTTACGACTGAGCCCAACATTTCTGTTGCTAAGCGAGACAGTTGTCAAGTGAATTTTGCGACCTTTCTTGCCACAGTTGTTAAGCGAATCACTGCGGTTGTTAGTAACACGGCTTCTGGCTTTTCCGTTGACTGCAATGGTCATAAATATGAGTTAGTTGCCAAGCGTCCGAATTTTGGTCATGTGACCATGGGGTTACTGCAATGGTCACAAATGTGAAAAATGTCATAAGTTATTTTTTTCAGTGCCATTGTCACTTCAAATGGTTACTAAATGAACTGTTTTATGTGTGTGTGTGTGTGTGTGTGTGTGTGTGTGTGTGTGTGAGAGAGGGAGAGAGAGAGAGAGAGAGAGAGAGAGAGAGAGATAAAGGAGGAGAGCCTGTGGCCTCGTGGCTAATACAACTGCCTAATATGTAATACAGCCCAGGTTCGAATCCCAATAAGGGTATGGCTAGCTGATGAGAGCTAAATACCTTGAAATAGATCTATACTAGTCTCCCTTTATTTATTTATCAGCACAAATGCAACACACACA